ATGAAACGATGAAAGCATAGAAGAAAACGACACCAACAAAGGGAAATCCAAATTATAACTCGACGAGTCTTCAAATGATATTCAACCCAATACCAAACCTAAGAGAGGAGATGGCAAGCTGTTAATCTGTTGATGTACATCGCCGTTTGAAGAGTTATTCGAAAAAAGACGGTCACAAAGGAGAGCTTAACTGCTGAGTGAAGGATATGAGACTTGAGATCACCTTCTTCAAAGAAAAGACAGCCAATGATTTCACCAAAACAAGAACAATACCAAGAGCCGGATAGCCAACGTCACAACCTGATAGAGATCTACGCAATGGCAGGTAGAACTACAACAAGGTTAGGCACGAAAGAAGAGCATACCAAATCACTAATCCGAGATGAACGACCAAACATCGATAGCCACCAGAACAACTCCAAAGACATGCCATCCAATGTAAACACACGAACCATTCCACTACTACCAACTAGACCCACCTGATGATAATGAGGATCCAACCTGAGAGGCAAAGAAGATATGAACTAAGCACACTAACCAGTCCCAACCGGGACAGATGCACCACGAGACAATAGACGAAAGCTACAAAATCAGCCTGACCCCGCAACAAACCCAAGTTGTAATACAACCACAAACAAGCAGCCAACACGACACAAGCATTGTCCACAGAACAAACCTAGGCTAGACCTAAAGCTGACCCTTGGAAAATCACCAGAACCTCACACCAATAGCCACAACGGGGAGGGGCCTAGGAGCCACCAGTGAAGCCTAAGAGAGAAGGAAGAGATCGAAACCCGAGGAGAAAGAACCTGGAGAGAAGAGCTCGACGAAGCCTCTGCCGGAGGAAGCGAAAAACAAATCCTGGAGCTGTCGATTACCTAAGGCCAACAAAACCACGAAGCGACATCCACCAGCACATCGAGACCTAAACATACCTGGCCTCGCAAATCTGAGTGACCAAAACCATCACCGAGGCTACAAAAGCCCAGATCGAGCTACCAAAGACCTCACCGACGAGAATCAAAACCAGATATAATCAAACAAGCCATGCCCCGACCATATAGATCCGGCCAAATAGAGACAGAACGACCAAGAAGCGTCGACCAGACCACGGTGAAACCACCGCAGGGGCCCAAACAAAGTCGACAAAGGACCTAACCAGCCATCTTTGCCATTGAATCGAGAAGAGACAAGCCAACGAAGCAACGAAATCAGAGG